AAGGGCGAGTTTGGAATATGCTGCTAAGCTCTCTCTTATGAAGCCGATAGTCATAGATATATTTGAAGGGACGGGAGGGATCGTAGTTTCTGAAGCAATAGAATGTGTTATCGCAGGGAACCCGTGCTTGAAGTAAGATTCCAGTCCAGACGAGGAAACGAAAGATCCGGTTGGCAAATTCCCGTCCGACAGGAGCAATAGTAAATATGAATCGTCGTCCATATTACTCGTATCTGATTAGATGCGATATCCCGAAAGGTTGTTTTACTTTAGTCCACTTGTGGTGGGCGGTATGCCTCGTTGCCCAATGACGACTTCGGCTATTATAACGATCAATGGTGGCAAGACAAATAAACCTAGACCTTTGGACCCTTCCTCGACACCAAATTACTGTAGCATCTTCAAATTTTCTATCTATTTAATTCGTAATGACTGCAACATTGTCTCTGTCTCGTCGCCTCTTCCTTCAATGTGCCCGTCGCCACTCACTCCGATCACTGGCCAAACCCAAAGTAGGTTTGCGTCGTCTGCAAGCGTCACTGGCGGGTGTACAACCAACGTTTGGGAACCCATCACCGCTATCTTCTCCATCAGAAACTGCATCTCCTCAAGCAAATCAACGTTCTTCTAGCGTTTCCGTCGGAACCCCTGCTTACCGAGTGCCGGAGAGGAGACGGAGAAGATGGTTAGCACCGTCAGAAGGTGAGTAGAATGTTGGAAAAAATGCTGTCCCTCCTTCTCGTCAGCTATTTCTTGATCCGCCACCATTCCGGTGACATGGAGGTTGACTCAATGGTTGTAAACAACTAGTCAGCACCCCGCTGCCAAGCCAAACCCTTGTGGAGTAGTGGGCTGATATATTTTCGTTTTCAGAGACACCAATATCGAAATATGAAGAAATGATCGAGAATGGCATTCTTCGTCCTGACGAACACCAAAGGACCATCATCGAAAAGCTCCAACGACTGCACGATGACTTGCGTGACTACGAACAACCTCCTGTGGCCGAAATAGTTCGCCCTACCCCCACATTTGTACGTAAAATATCAGGTTACTAATTTTACATGCTAATGAGGGTCTAGTTGCAGCGCATGTTTGGGGGTTCCAATGAAGTTCTTCCGGAGCCTCCGTCTGACTTACCCCGAGGCTTATACTTATATGGCGACGTCGGAACAGGAAAGACAATGCTCATGGACCTTTTCTATATTACATTGCCGGCAAATATCAAGCGAAAAGAGCGCGTCCATTTTCATGCCTTTATGATCGATGTACACAAACGCCTCCACGCGTACAAGTTGGCACATCCTCATGACGGAGCGGACCCCGTCCTACCTATTGCACGGGACCTAGCAAAAGAATTTAGCGTAGTTTGCTTCGACGAGTTTCAGGTGACCGACATTGCAGTCGCCATGATCTTGAGGAGACTCTTGGAATGCATGCTGAGGTTCGGTGTCGTATTTGTGATGACATCCAAGTTAGTATCATTTCAACTTTCTAAAAAGCATCTCTTCTAAATGATACACAGCCGGCACCCAACGGAGCTGTATAAACGGGGAATCCAACGAACTAGCTTCGTTCCAGCCATCGAGCTGATCATGAAGGAGTATGATGTTACGGATTTGGACTCGGGTACAGACTACCGCAAGATACCAAGAGCACTTTCAAATGTCTACTTTCAGCCTCTCACTAAGGAGAACAAACAGGAGATTCTCAAGATTTTCGATGGGCTCACTGCCAACGATGGCCCTAGGGTAGAGGAGAAAAAGTTGGTGATCTGGGGACGTAATGTAAAGATCCCTGAAAGTAGTGATAATGTCGCCAAATTCTCCTTCCAAGAACTCTGCGGACAGCCATTGAGCGCCGCGGATTACCTAGAGATCACCAAAAGATTCCCCACAGTCTTTGTGCTCGATGTGCCAAAGATGAATCTTAACCACAAGGACATGGCAAGACGATTCATCACATTCATTGATGCGTGCTACGAGAACCATGTGCGTTTACACTCTTCTTTGTGCCCCTCTTTCTGACTTTGATTATATCCAGACCAAGCTTTTTGTTTCGTCTGAGGTGCCTATCTATCGTATTTTCTCTGATGATACTGGAGGGCAACAAGCAAAAGAGAAAACCGATCATATTCGCTCCATTATGGATGACCTAGTAAGGATACCATGTGACAATCGCTTATACATTTACTGATATCGGATCAAAGGGCATTTCAGATCAACAAGTAGGCACCACGTCTATTTTCGATGGAGAAGAAGAACTATTCGCCTTCGCACGAGCGTGCTCCCGCCTGATTCAGATGGGCACACAAGAATGGGCCCTGACCGCCGGGCAAGAAAATAAGCATGCCGTTACCCTTTAGGGTGCAATTTTATGTTTTGCAGTTGTACTAAGTTGCCTAATGTCTTTTGTTTTAATGATCCATACTTGTATTCTGCACTCGCATATCATAGTAGCAACACATGGAAGCTAACATATTTCCCTTGGGATGGAGGTTTATATATTTTCCCTTGGGATGGAGAAGAATAATATAATCAGTCCTCATCTCATGCGATACCTGTTTAAGTGGTTAGCACCTGAAAGACAAGCCGAGGGCAGTTCACTCACCAGAGAACAGATTTTCGGTTTCTTCTCATCTTTCGTTGCAATTGTAGAACACCATATAATAGAGCTTCTGCAGTTGGTGGACAGCCAGGAACATAAATGTCGACAGGGACGATACCTAGCGAACAAATTGAGTAAAAATGGTAGTCAATAGTTCACTGATACTCACGATCACAACCTCGCACGACAGAGTAGGAATAATGATAGTAGCCTCCTCCGTTCGCACATGAACCCATGGAAATCACCCATCGAGGTTCCGGCATTTGGTCGTACACCTTTCGAAGAGCAGGAGCCATCTTATTTGTCAATGTACCAGCAACTATGGAGGAGGTATCAGCACATTTCTATCAAATGTTCACTGAACGGGTTGACTCACCGATCATAATATCAGATTGACGGGGACTGGCACGGAAGACAATACCCAGTCTGTCTTGATCATAACGAGCAGCCGCCATGTGCATCATTTCTACGGCACAGCAAGCCAATCCGAATGTCATGGGCCTAGTCGGAGAAATACGTTGAGGTTGAGGCCTACTTTCGAAAGCGACATGGCTTACCAGAATGAACCCTGTGAAAGGTTACATAATAAGCAAACAATTCCTCTTGATTAGAATGCAATAGCGCACCTGATGAGCCCAGTTAACGATTTTGTCGAGAGTCGCCAGGACGTATTCTAGGAATGATTCATCAGCATATCCTGTGTTTGGACCTCTGATTGCAAGAGAGGCTGAGCATACCAGTCTTGTTGTGTGGTTTCATGAGACTGCCGGCATTTGATCCACGATTAGCGTAAGTCGTGATGTCGTTAGACTCGGGCGGGGACACAATCTCGGTGGATGTTGAAAGGGTCGCTAATTTTGCGACAGATGATGTATGAAATGCCGGTCTACCTTTATATCCAGACATTTGCTCATGTTAGCGCACAAGAAATAAATAAGTCGAATTTTGCAGGTACATACTGAGCAAGCTTAAAGAGGGGATAGGCCTAGCGGTGCGGATCGCTGAGACGGTATATCTTGATTAGTGTTTTGAGACTAGTAATTTTGTTGTTTTTAATCACCTCTCGCCGCTAGTAGCGAAGCCATTGTGGTCGGGGCCAATAGGGTAATGGATTTTACCACCAAGCACCATTTCTTGCCTTCAGCCTCAAACTCCAATATTCAAGGAAAAATTACTCTGATATCATGTAACCAGGAATTACGTATACTACGAAGTGCAACCTGATTCATTACTCTACCACTTTCCAACGAACAGCTCCCAAGCTGAATAGAAGCCCATTGCGAGCATGACTGCCACCAGAATGAGCAACAGACAAAGTACCAGAAAATAAGGTACTCACTCAAGAATGTCGTATTGGAGACTTTAAATCCTGTAACCCTCTGCAATGTCTCATGTTAGGACCAAATGACTCCCGCCCAAACCACTTACATTTTCAGGATTATCAGAGACATAACCCCAAGCATAGACCACTCTGCCTGAAGATAGTATAAGTAGGCCGATAAAGTCGAGCGGAAGAACTACCTACCTATAATCCAACCTACTCCAAGAGCCGCAGAGGTAAGTGGAAAGCGTAAACCCGTCCAGCCAATGCTGCAATACAAATTAGACTTCGTACTACAGAGATAGTATATAACTCACGCCATTAGAAACATGGGGAGGTTCTCAAGCATGTTGGCATGGGCTCTTTGTGCACAGTTGAATTTCAAGGCATTGGGATCCTCTTTGCACTGTTGCAACTCCGCAAAGCCTATAACACGGTTGATTGGGCATACAAGTAACTATGATCTCGGATTTCAGTATCCTGCTTACCTTGAGGATGCTTGATTCCGGCTGCATGGCGAAACCTGTAGGCAAGTATACTATGATACTGTAACAAGCAAACACAGAACATCAAACCTCCTATGACAAACAATATGTTACAGGTACTCACAATAGCGAGAAATGTTGTTGATAAAGCGACGGCGACGGGGGCACCATATTCCTCCGGAAGAGAGATAGTCACGGGCATGGCTGTTGACAATTGGGTTCTAAGTAAGAAAGAGAAAAGAGCTGCCTGGATGATGGAGTCTACTTCAGGTCTTTGATCACATTATATAATTCCTCATCCTAGGATCAATACTTCGACAGCCCCTATGTACGTGTCGATGGGCGGGCCCGAGAACTCGGACTTGGGTAAGTTTTGTGAGCTGGCATTCTCTTGTCTTGGTCATCACTCTGCTTCTCTATATCGGGTAACAGCATCCTGCTTACGAAGTAGTTGCCGGCGTTCTAACTTCGGAAGGATGAGCGAGCCGCGTATACACGGCAGTCACCGAATTCGGGAGAAAGAGAGTATAACGTCCGACTCGCATGTTCCTTGCTTTGTCGGCGGGGTCAAAATAGAATTTGTAGTACCCTTCCGCAGCTCTTGGCTGTTTCAGAGATTTTAGGCTTTGAATCATAACAATGGCAAATATGGCCTTTGGGCACTTATAACAATGGATGTCGATAAGATCAAGCAATGGAGTCAAGCCCAAGAATGAAATCTCTTAAAATTTGCTCAATTATAGATGCTAATTGTGGCCAAATGATACCGAGACTGGCATGCCGAAGGGCCAGGCATGGAATCTTCTGGATAACGGTCGCGTGGGACTCCCCGCGACGCGTATGTTCGACTGTCTCGCTATTTTCTTTATGGGTGGCTGAGCTGAATTGTAGCACACGGCAAGGATCGAGACCACGGTCACGCACTTCGCAGAATACTCGAGAGTCGAAGAGTAGACCCGGCTATCAAAAACTCAGAGGTATAAAGAAAAAAGTACCATTCTATGATAAGGAAAACATGCGGGATAATTATTGAGTATATAAATGACACCCTTCGAACTACGACGTGAAACCTTTAGCCATGTCTGATGGGATTTATACAGCTCAGAACGCATGCATGCATGCCATTATCATCTACCAACTTCCATTCCAGAACTCCCAGCTAGCATAGAGGCCAAGGCCGTAGAGAACTAAAGAAGTTTGAATCAGTATTGGTATAAGAGGTCAAGATGCATGCACTGACCATACTCGGCGATAGAGTGGAATGCACCACGATAGCGCTATAGTATTGTAAGAGAGTGTTTTATGTCCTTTGTGGTCTTAGCTTACCCCGTTGGGATTGCCTGAAACGTAACCTTGAGTGTAAAGAATACGGCCTAATACAATCCATGTCAGAAGATTAATAGAGGTATACATTGCTTGACTGACCTAAGATCCAAGCAGCACCCATTCCGCCGGCGGTCCTTGGATAGCGAATGCCAGACCACAACAGCCTGAACAAAGTCGTGATTAATGAGACCATATGTAAAATATAATGTAAATATGACTTACGCGACAAGGACTGTGGAGATGTGCTCGAGAGTGTTTGCATGAGCACGTTGGGCGCAGTTGAAGATATGAGCATTATGGTTTTCTTTTGCCTGAGAAACTTCGGCATAGACTGTTCGAGTATGATATCAAAGCAAAGTAACGAAGGGGCATGGGATAGGGGTAGATGTGATCGCGAAACCAATAAATGTTCTCAAGTAAGACTTCCGATATTTGCCAGGTGAAAAAACCTGCCTTGGGGGTATTTGATGCCAGATTTCTTTCTCCAGTTACTGACAACGATACCTTGCCACTAATACACGTAAGTATACGTCGTCGATGTGTATGATGAGGTGCAAGGTATCTACATGTTATTAGGGGGCGTGACTTACCCCGGTCAAGATACCTGTAGCAACAGCACTGGCGGCGACGAACGCGTATTCTTTGGGGAGAGTAAACGAAACAGACATGGTCGGGATCAAGAACAGATGCTGACGAGTACACCCATCCCGGGTTTTAATACAGAAGTTGTCGGAATGCGGCCGCCGTAGAAAAAGTTGGGTGACCGACACATAGCTGCCCATTCTCCTCCCCATCGCGCTCCACTCCGCACGGCCAGCCGAAGGCGGCCTAAAGATGGTGCTGAAGTGGACATGTGGGGCATAGGTAGATACCTGGAAGACATGGCTTCTCGAGTGACCTGTCAGGTCGCAAAACCGGATGCTGTCCAGGAAATGGCCAGGAGGTGGATGTCAGATGTTACAATCAGTGCAGCCACTGTACTCGATGAAGTAAATGTAACCATACCCCATCTAATTATGATGACGATTATGCGTTAACATCCCTAATAGGCAGCTCAAGACATGTTTTTTATGACCTAGAGATCGCCTCCATTTTCAAATGATATTGCTCTCTTATGGTAGACATATGCTTCTTCTGAGCTATTTGACATCGGTATTGCTATTTCCTCAGCAAAATTTTACGTCGATTGACCTTTGCACTACCCAGCTCGTCGTATACGTATTTGCTTTCTTTCGCTTTAACCCTAGCTAGGACGTGGAAACACGGAGGATACGCCCCAGGGGCCCCGCATAGATCATGTATAGAAACTAAACTAATGTATTATTCTCATGATAGCCTCTGCATAGGTCCCGACGGACCTACAGAGGGGCTCAAAATACAGGGATCTAATAATAATGCTTGGTCTCTTTCCGCACCTAGTCTGTAACCTTCACAACCTCCTAAGCATCTTTGTTTACTGGTATTGGTCTACCTATTATCAGCCAATCGTCGATTTATGTTTAGTCCGTGCCCAAAGAGATCATGCGCTTACTCACGTCTCCCAATCACGCCCTTCTAAAATCTCGCTCTAAGATTGTGTTCACCAATCTGCTGTGTGCTGTGCATGCATAAAACCGTTGTCATAAAATATTATTCACTAAAAGTTCCCTGTCTACTAAAGCAATGGTCACCACCACCCAATCCCTTGGACACGGTGGCTACGGTGGGCAAGCATCGATAATTGAATAGTAAGTTGGCACAGCACCTCTTTAGCCTGCAATGAGATTATTATCCTGTTTGTAATATGATGGCTATTGTTTTCTGGCTATAGGGTCTGAAGTCAGTTTTTCATTCCATAAAGGCCACTATTAATGCTCTTACAGAGGCGAAAATTCTCTGCCATTCATGGGTAAATAGTCATCATAACTTGCTCTTGAAAAGGGCTGTGCCGACTCAAATTTCAGCTATGCTTCAAGTTCCGGAACCCCACTGTGTCAGTGAACCTTGACCAGCCCCAAGACCGACTGCCAACAACCTGCCAGCCACGAACGATGGCGGAGAAGTATAAGTTCTTCTGCATTTTAATGGGAGAATATTCTCCCTTCCCAGTCGAAATCGAATCGAACAAGACGATTG